GATTAATGTAAGATTGTTTGTGTCAACAAAGATTAAGAGACCTTAATAGGTCTTAACATTTTCGTGAAAATTGAGGCTTTAAAATGTACCAGGAGACCATTGTCTAGAGGTGATGGAAATAAACAACCGCGTTGTGCCGTTTTGAAATGACTAAAACACGACTGAAAAATGTGTCGCGTTTAATTTCTACACGTGTTGCTTCCCCTTCCAGATGGCTTTGCTTCGGTTCCTAACATGTGGTTTGATTAAAACGATAATACAGCGCGATAGCACTTCACTCAGCAGTTACAGCCGCGATTGGTGTTCTCCCGATCGGAGCAGATTCGTTCTAAGTGGTGTGCCTACGTTTTCTGGAAGCTGTGCCAAATGGTTGTCATGGTATTTTCCCCTAGTGGTCGAAGCCTGAAACAGCACAACAGTAGGTTCTCAGTTTGATCTAGGAAGGTTCTATTTTCCTCTGTCGTATAATATATTGGGACATTTTGAAATGTTCTTTTTTATGTTAAGTCAAGTCTGGTGCTTAGATAGTGCTTCATTTGTAAAATGTATTTAATTAGCCCAAATGAAACCCTGTGATTAGCCCTTCATATAATCACATGTACTGTGATTAGCCCTTCATATAATCACATATAATCATCATCATCATAATCATCATAATAATCTCAAGACTACTTAAGATTATCCTCCCTAACAGGGAAAATGGAGAAATAGACATAAAGAAAATGTTATGTTTCATTTATAAAATAAATAAATAAATAAAAATTGTTTACAAAATAGTACTGAAAACCGTGCTAGATTACACACTGAGTGAGCAATTTGGCAACGGTGGAGGGAGAGGAAAAAAGACTCTGAAGTGTTCAGCTGTCTACTTTGGAAAAGAGCGAAAGGGGAAAATGGGGGAGACAGCAGAGCGAAAGGGGAGAGAGAGAGAGAGTGAGAGAGAGAGTACAGTCAGACAAGCCGTTAAAAAACAAACAAACAGTACTGTAATGAAACCTTTTTTGTACCAACGATTGATTGGCCGTTGCTGCGGACCGGTAATACATCGCCAACGTTGAAGGATCATTACATTTTCAAAGTTTTAGATTTTTTTCTGTCAATATCAGAGTCTGAATGTTGTTTTGAAACACTGACAGATTATCTTTAAATGCAAAAAATAAAGGGATATGACTGGATTATTTGAAGTAAATTAGTAAAACTGAGGTACAACTTTTCACTGCCTCCCACTGCGACCCAGTGCTAAATGACCTACGGAGAAAAAGGAAAAAAAAAACTAAGGAAGAAAAGTAAGTTACAGCGTATATTCAGGACTGAAGTGCAATCTCATGTCAATAACAGGCTGGCGGTGATGCAAATCCAGGCCGAGGTGATGCAGGGACCTTACAGACCAGCTCCAAGATCCCACACATTTCCAGAGTGGTGAACATCGCCAACACTGCCGCTATGTCCTTCTTGGCCAAGTAAATATATACTTAAATCTATGTGTAAATCCCCTGGCCGCAGCGTGTCAAAATATCTCATTTTTCTGCAGCTTGTCGTTGCTGATTACATTACAGGTTTCAGTGACATGTCACACTTCCTCCTCCTCCTCCTCCTCTCCTCCCCGCAGGGCCGCGGAGAAGCTTAGCCTGACACTGAGGAAAAAAGGCCAGGCTTCGGATTCGGCTCCCGCTCATCTCTCCACACGCTTCAGGGACATCATCCAGAAAAATCCGCCATCCGTCCCCTCCTGCCTGCTCCAAGCTGCCACCAGAACCAGAGACTCACCCAATGTTGGCAAGGTAGATAGTGAAGCTTCAAATTCCATTAGATGTACAGGAGAGGTCTGTGGTAAATGACCCACTTTTTTTTTGCCTATAGTATAACATAGATCATTTCCCAAGTATTAGGGTACTTTACATGTACAAAATAAAGTAACCAATCAAAAGAGTAGCCGTTCGGCATCAAATTGCTTTTCCGAGCAGCATGAATCGAGCCATTATTATAGTCTTATTGTATCGTTTTTCACATTTCTCCTTCTGTGTCCAGTATCACCTGAGCCCACTGAGCTGCTGCTCATCCTTCTGCTGTCATTGTTTGTTTGTGGTGATTCATAGCCTCAGTTACTCTCCTCTGGTCTTTAGAAATATATATGTGAGAGTCATCGAGGTAAGGCCTGGTAGCAGGCTCCCACGGTAGCAAAAAAAAAGGACAACTTACCGTATTTTCTGGACTATACGGCGCTTTGGAATATAAGTCGCACTAGCCAAAAAATGCATTAAAAAAAAGAAAAAAACATATATAAGTCACTCCGGAGTATAAGTTGATAGCTAGATTGCTCTCTAGTGGCCGTCAGTGTAAACAATAACAAACGTGCAAATTTTCAGTGGTACAGGAGTAGTAGCTACTACTACACAAGCCTAGAGTGCCCTCTAGTGGCTGTCAGCGTAAAAATAACAAACATGTAAAATTATATTTTTCACCAAGTCACAAACCCAGCCATAGGATGAAAAAAAAAGTGCGACTTATAGTCCGGAAAACACGGAACGCACTAAGAGTCCTTGCTGCGCCTCTGAAAAATATATTTACATCCTCACCCACATCCACCACCACCTTGGAAGTGTTTTCACCATCGGCGCAGTGTAAAGAGATCACAGTCAATTTGTAGGAGATCCTATATCACTCCTCCTCCTCCTCCTTGATACACTGTAATGTGGTGCTAATATCTCCATCTCCCTCCGCTCCTGTGGGAGAAACTGGACCGATCAATATGGCTGCCTGCCCTCTCCTTGTCTCACAGATGGACTCCTGGGTTTAGTCTAGAGTTACAGATAAGGGCTCGGATAGACCCCGCCGCCAGCCACACCTGCGCCGGCACTCGGCGTCTATGTGCCTCTGTGTGCAAGAATATGCCTGTGGCAGGACTTCCCTCTGCCTTTAGAAGGACTTCTTGAATTATTTAATCCTCATAAACAGAGGCTGACACACATGTTGTCCTTCACCGGACATTTATCATGTTTTTTTGTTGACAGATGATGTCATTGTGGTGTATTGACAGTCCTGCAGTACACTGAGTGGTTCGCTGAGCTCGCAGTGTTGCAGGCCTTAATCCGCAGTCTAAACAACGGTATAATTTGCTTACATGTTGTTATGCAGCTTCCTGTCTTTATTAAGGTAAATGTTGCCTGTTCGCCGTAATCCTTGTCAACCTTATTTAAGGCCGTAATGCCTCTAAATTCCAACGTCACCCGCGGCCAACTGCATTACCAAATGAATGTCACGACATGTGCAGGTTCAGAGCAACACGTGTGGTTCTTAGACTAACTGGATTATGTGGCTGTGATTTAGACTCTGCAAAATTCTGCAGCTCTTTTCAAATGTATATTGTTACTATATAACTCACTACACTGCCTGACGCATTGAAAAACACAACAACAACACACAAAAAAATGATGTCATGTGCAAACGCAGTTTGTTTTCATTAGCTGCTGGCGCTCCGTGCTCATGCTGTGTCTATCGATATTCACTGGTTCAGCCAAGGATTTGTCTCTCAGAGGCTTCCAGAAAACATCATTCAGTCAATACCATTGCTTTCCATGTCACGTGTTGCAAATCTCGGCTTTTAGTCACTGTATGACACGTACAAAATATTATTACCACACTTTTAACAATGTAGCTTTAAAAAAAGGTTATAAAATGTGAAGGTAAAACTAAAAATATATATTTGTATCTATATTTTTTCCTTTATAGTTCACTGTATGTTGGGTTGCTTTTAAATTCAGTCTTGTCAAACTCATTTAGGTTCACGCGCCGCATGCAACCTAATTAGATGTTAAGTGGGCCGGACCATTACAGTCACACCGTAATGAATTATAAATTAAAATAAGGCTGTGTTTTCCACCCTTTTTCATGCAAAAAAGTACATTATATATTTATTATTATTATTTATCCATGTCTAATGACATGAATCATTTTACAAAAAAATATCCATTCAGTGTTAGTGTATTTTTCAAAATTTTATTTTATTATTTTCATCAAGCGGGCCGGATTGAACACCCTAGCGGACCGGTTTTGGCCCACGAGCCGTATGTTTGACACCCCTGCTATACAGTCAATATAACCAATAGAATTTTTTTTAAAAAAAATCCCTAATATATGACTAATATAATTTTGTTATAATCAAGTTGCTAGCCTCATATAAAAAAAAAAAATATTTATATAAATAATCAATAGAAATTTAAAAAAAAAAATCCCTAATATATGACTAATATAATTTTGTTATAATCAAGTTGCCAGCCACATATAATATATATATATATATATTTATATAAATAATAATAAATATAAATATATATATAAATATATATAAAATATATTGTATATACTGTATTGCAGTAGGTATTCAATGTATAAACTGTATAACCATTTTTTGCATCGCGGTTCAAGGTACATGTTTTAAATTGACCTCTTAATGTTGTACAGTGGAGATACTTTTAATGGCGACCCTTAAAATAGCCACTGAGAGTTAGTGTTTCCGATTGGATCGTCGATGGACATGGCATTGGACAGACAAAAAAAAAAAAAACGTTTGCATCCTCTCGTTAAACTGCAGGAGAAGAGCAGGAAACAATAAATGTTTACGAGCTTCAATCAGTGAACCTACACTGATGTGTGTAAAATATTTCCTCCTCGGAGTTAAGAACATTATCGTACGTTTTGTTTTGGCGTTCAGGTCAAAGTGGTGCTGAGGGTGAGTCCAACACTGTCAGCGGACCAAGGCCAATCCCCCGTCCTCCAGATCGATCCGGCTAAAAAAAGAGTCACCATAAGGGAACCGTTTGGTAACTGCCTACCACAAACTGCGATGGTCCTGGGCAGGGACGGGAAAAACCTTCTGAAGACGTTCAACTTTGATGCGACTTATTCTCAAGAGTCAAGCCAGGTTTGGTTCTGTCCTTCCATTGATCCACGTTGATGTATTTGGATTGGACGACCGTATGTTGTTTCCATCAGCATGGGTTTTTTTTTCTCTTTGACTAATGACCTGGTCTGGTTGATATCCGACTTAATCACATCAATTCTATTTAACCATCTCCAACTTCTGCTCACAGTATCTCAGCCAATGAGAATATACGAAATGCATTTCTTCGTTTCACTGGAAACACACTCTCTCACTGTGAAGATGATTCATAAGACGCTCACTGTCCTTTGTTCTGTCCGACCAGGCGGAGGTGTGCGCAGGGGTCTTGGCTGACGTCATCCGCTGCGTGCTCAGCGGCAGCGACGGATGCGTCCTGGGTTTGGGTTGCGCTGATGTGGGTGAGTAATCGGTCCCTGTTAAAGGATCACGGGTTAAAATCCCACGTTGGGAGTGGGATGCTTTCAAGTCCGGGACAAATTACCCGCCCTTCCTTCCCCCCCTTTGATGCCTGCATCTACTGCTATCCCTCACCCTTTCATTATCATTTTAACTATATGTCTCCGTTTACCTTTCTGTCCTTACCGTCTTGATTTACTCTCTCATGTGTCCATCATCTCGGCCGGAGCAGCGACCAAAACACATTAAGTCTTTACTTCACGGTCATTAATCTTTTCCCTGTTACTTTGTAAATAAAACCTTTACTCATTAATTAATCATGTGTTTATTCTTTTTTTTTGTTGATGGCTACATCATCATCTGGCAAAACAAGAACTTTTTTTTGTTGATGGCTACTTCGTCATCTGGCAAAACAAGAATACAGTGTTGGACATTTGAAAGAATAGTTGTATTTTTCTGAAAAGAAAAAAAAATTAAAATCACAAGCAAAATGGAATGTAATTCGTTGCTATTAGAGAGATGGAAGCCTGCACTTAGCTCAGTGAAGGGGTTTAATAGATTTGTGACCCACACATGCACGCACGCGCGCGCACGCAGGGTAAGGACGAGGTCTCCTTGGAGCTGCCTGTTCACATGACGCCACTCTCCGTAAATCTGATTGAATTAGTTGACCAATCCAGACTGCATGTGGCCCACAGCCAGGAGGATATCAATCTCCTCCGCAGAATACCATTCTCTCTGAGTAACGGCAGGCAGCTCGGGCTTTAATAGGAGTAAACCAATTCTCTTATTCCCTCATTCAATTAGAGTTTGGATACGAAGAGGCGGAATCAAACGTTAGACCGAACTAATGTGGGGCAAAAGTGCAGCAGGACATGCGGCGTGGCATTAGTCCAGGATGTAACGGTTTTTGAGTATGTCTGTGTATTGCTGCATCGTACTTTTTTGCTCATCTGCGATTTGCACCGGCCTGGCGTGTGCACCTAGCAAAAACAGGTTTGACCTTTGACCTGGAAACTGCTGCCGACACGCCATACGGTAGCATTAGTGTTTTCATGGATGGAGATTTTGGTACAAAGAACAACATGTGTGATACATAGTTGCAGATGAATTGGCGCTGAAGAATTAGCCTCTGGCTTGTACTGGTCCCCGACCCGGTGGTAGAGACCCATGATCTACTTGATGGGGTTTTTCCAACGTCTTTCTCTGTTGTGTACCTCAGGCTCCTGGTCCAGCATGGTGGGGAGTGACGAGAGTGTCCAGAAGCTGGGGCTCATTCCCTGCGCCATCTCCTGGCTGTACAGCTCCATCGAGCGGCGCAGAGAGAAGACCTGGACCGATATGACGGTGTCGGTGTCCGCCATTGAGCTGTGTTGTGGGGAGGAGGACACGCTGAGAGATCTGCTGGGGGAGTTCTCCCCCTTGGTGGGCAGCGCACAGGACAGCCCACAGCCACGTATCAGACTCCAGGAAGACCCCGTCTACGGAATCCAAGTAGGAAAGAGAGTCATTTCTTTACTGATTCTACCTCGTCTCCCGTTCATCTGGTGGAAAGAAACTGGGAAAAGTTGAAGTTATAACTGACCATTATGTGTGGTCTAATGAAGCTCATTAAGATAAACAAGCCCAAGCCAAGGCTATATACTTTTACTCTTGACGAGTCTGACATTTTCTTGGCCGTACTTTTGCGCTGGCAGCGCTTCAAGGCCTCCATTTGAAAATTAGCTGACGGAGGAGTGTTATTTTGTGGTTCTTTTAACAGTTGGGAAGTGGGAATTGTGCCCATTTCCCCAGAAAACCAGAACATTTTTAGTGACCGCGAAGACTCGTCCATATATTTTCAGTAAGGTTGGCTGTGGTTTAAATTAATGGTTATCTTTAATCGTGACATTCAGTTTACAACCTGTTAGGTAATCGGTTCATATGATGGTGTACACCACCCGTGAGTCCATAATTAATAGGTAATGAGTGCACCCTATTAAATTAGACATAATTACGTGATGATCAACAGCCTCACGCTAAGTGAGCACACCATGTGTCTCGTGTAGGTGTGTGTTTCCAAAGACATTCAAATAAATAAAACCAACCAGTTGCTCGGACACATTTGAACGTAACTCTTCGTTTTCTCCCCCCGCCCTCCCATCACTGCAGCTACGTAACCACAACCGGGTGAAGGCCCCCACTGCTGAGCGAGCGGCTTCCCTGCTGGACGTGGCCATCGCAGCTCGTCGACACAGCGACTTCATCACGTATCTGTCCCACACATCCGTAATGTTCTTCACCCTCCACGTGCAGCCTCCTCGGACAGAGAGCAGCACCATCGGGAAAGGTAGAGTGGATGTAAAAAGTGCCCGAATCCCTGTTTGAATGTCAGGTATAAAGGTAGAGTGGATGTAAAAAGTGCCCAAATCCCTGTTTGAATGTCAGATATTTTAAAAAAAAAAAAAAAAAAAACAACGACAAAATGTTGTTGTATGCATCATTTTGATTGGTTTGTTTTTAGATATTATACAGCGATATCCTCTTGAAGTCAATTTTTGTTCCCTTTTTTAGGCTTACGTGGTCCCACCAAGTTGATCCTAATAGATGTAAGTTCCGGAATGAGGGCTATGAGTAAAAATAAACCTCCCTATTCTGAACTGGGTCCCGTCATCGTGTCTCTACTAAGTGGACATAAACCCCCCCCTAACAGGTGAGGCATTTGCTACTAAATGTTATTGATGCAAACATTCTAGTTAATGTTTCTTGCAGTCGTCTCCTTTAATACCCTTGCATTACCGTTACATGGTTTCGTCTGCTAGCCATGTGGCTAACCCGTAAGAGACGCCAGCGGATGCATTCAAATTTTACAGAATGCTAAAAACGATTGATCCATTGATGGGAGTCAATGTCTGGACATTTTTTATTGTCTTTGCACAGGGGCAGTAAGTTGACCATGCTCCTGCGAGAGGCCCTGGGTCACACAAACTGTCACGTCACAGTCATGGCTGAAATCGCCGATTCACTCACACACCTTCAAGAGACATTGTCCACTGTCCACCTGGCTGCGCGCATTCGCCGGACACAGAAGAGAACGAAGGTTTCGTCTCCTGTTTCGTCTCCTGTTTCTAACCGCTACCTTTTTATTGGTTTTCAGGTTTTTAAATCTTTTTTTATTCAACAGCAATCCACCTCATGCTCTCCATGTGGAAGAAGTTTAACTAGACAAAAAAAAGGACCCCAGCCTTTCTCCCTGCGGGCCTTCCACTCCACTGACGAGGTAGATGTTGACAACTATCCTCTACGTCTTCGCGGCGATCTCGATGAGCATTCTGGTAGCGAGCAATCCTGCGACACGGTTATCCAAATAGGCTCGGATGGCTTCATCAATTCCAAAGCCGCGGGTCTGACACAACCGAAGTTTGTGCCAATTATACCTTCTCTTAATCCCAACAAATCCGACCTGGATGACCCAGAGTTCACCGCTCTGCTGCAGGAGCTTCTGAGGATTCCTCAGCTGCAGGGGGAAAAGAAGAAAGACGAAATGCTTCAAAGTCATACAGAAATGCTCAAAGCAGACGCCAAGCCGCCGGAGAGGGATTGTCTCAAATGCGAGACGTTTGCTGAACTTCAGGAGCGTCTGGGTTGTATCGACGGAAGTGAGGTAATAATGGAAGTGCTGAAGTGCTCCTCCAAGGTCCCATCTGTGAACGACGTCTCAACCAAATCACATCCCAGAAAAGAAAATGGAAAACACACCAGTACGAAAGCACTGAAAGCACCACAGGGGTTGTTGAATCAGGGCTTAGGCTGCAGTCAAACCGCTGAAGGAGAAAAGAAAACAGATGGTGCCTTCCCAGGAGACAGTTTTCAGAGAGAGGATTCGGGTCTTTATGATTGTGAGGAATGCAGTGCGGCCAGTTCAAGTGAGGAAATCCTCAATCAAGCTCTCGGTCTGAACACAAACTGTTGCGCCGAGCATCCCAACACTGGAACTCCAAAGTTAGCTAATAAGCTGCCCTCCAAGTCCTGTGGTGAAACCACCGCGGGTGTTTCTCCAGCGCTTCAGTCCGCGGACAAACAGGAGGGTCTGGAAACTGCTGAGTGGTTCAAACCAGACAAAAGGACCTCGCCAGTTGGAAAGAGTTCCCCCATATCCCCCTCCTCCTCATGCTCGTCGTCACACTCCGTGGCTAACAGTGTCGTACACAAAGACGTCTTACCCAACTGTCCGGCAAAGGACGTTAAAGAAATGAAGGCCACCATTACAGTGACCGTTCAACAGCCGCTGGACCTCAAAGGTCAGGATGAACTGGTCTTCTCAATGGTAGAGGAGGTGACCATCAGCGGGGCATTGAACAGTGGGAGGACGGGGGGAAACATTATTTGCATCAGAGACCAGCAACACTCAAATACTGAAGGCTTGGCCAATTCTCAGCCAATAAGGATAATTAGCAACGTCAGCGAGGAATCTCTCGCTGCAGGTTCTCCTGACAACACCGTGGTCTCGGTGGTTGAGTCTGCAGCCACAGAAACCACCGCGAAGCCTCAGCATCAGTGCAGAAGGGAAAAGGGTTTCATACCCTCATTTATTAACCCCATGTTGATTCACACGGACGTGGATTGCGACGTGGATGGCGGAGAGGAAAAACAAACGTTTCAGGAAAGCAACACGAGAGTCGCCGGGACGTGGATTGCGACGTGGATGGCGGAAAGGAAAAACAAATGTTTCAGGAAAACAACACAGCGTCTGACATACGAGGAAATCATTTTAAAAATCCCGAAGACAGGAATATGAATGAGAAGAGAAAAAAAGTGTTTGAGAGTCAGACGCAATTAAAAAAGCTGGAAAAACCACGCGATTCTGCTTTTAGCGAAATTCCCTACGACTCAGTGGATTCGGCAGCTTTCGGTGGTAGAAGCGCAGACGATGCCGTGGAAAGAGGAAACGCAGGAGACAGGAGACACCCAGGAGATGAGGAACATGTTTTTTCCAGCTCCAACTCTAATGGGAGCTCAGAGGGGGGCAAATGCATCGGGAATGCCCCCAGGAGAATCTGTGTTTTACCTTGTTGCCAAGAAACTGCCCCTACGCCCTTTGAAACAGGCAGTTCGCCTCAGGGATGGCAAAATGCCAACGTCCAGGACTGTTATTTGATAAGCAGCCGCAGAGACACCAGGGGGATGACATCATCCACCCCGTGCAGCCCGGGAGTGACCCCGGATAAGAGGCCGGGCAGAACCTCTCCGCTAAACCACGGCCTTCAAGTCTCTTCCCCTTTTAAATGTGGAACTGAGCTTACACAGAAAGCTGGTAGTTCTTCAAGGCAGGGTGTTGCATCTGTGTCGGAGACCTCCAATCCAAGAATAAAACATGAAGGCATAAGTGGGCGGCAGCAGTCACCCCCCGAGAACAGTGGCAGGCTTTTCAGTGCCAGATTGGAGCAGCTGGCCTGCAAGACCAATTCCCTCGGGAGAGCTCCGAGAGACTTCCCGACTCTGTACAGAGGCAGTAGTAACACCTCCATGAGTTCCAAGGGGAGTTCCAGGGGCAGTAATGAAGGGGCTTGTAGACGAGTCTATAAGGACACAAATGAGGGCCATTGTACTTTACCCAGGGCGAGCAGGAGCTCCAGGAAAAGCCATCGTTCGGATCAGAGTCATCACTACTCTTCTCAGATCTCTGTAAATCAACCTTCCAAGCATAGCCACTCCAAGCTCTCTGCCGTCGGAAAACTCAAAATGGCCGCACCCAAGGCTCGTCGACTGTCTGCTCCCAGCATCAAAAACGTCAGCATGACCCACAGAGGTCTGTCGCAGTCCGGCAGCCGCAGTTCCAGTATTTCCCCAGAGAGTAAAAACGACGGCTTGGAGGCAAACTCTTCGCCCCCTTGCTTTTCCTCCCCGCCGCTCTCTTTTCAATCCATCAGTCGGACCCCGAGCCAGAGTTCCACATGTTCCTCCACAAAGTCCGCCATCCAGGGCTTTGTCAACGGCCGCATCGCCGAACTACTCAAGGAAAGGTCCGCCAGTCCTGGATCAGCAGAACTGGATGAAGTTGGTAGCATTCCCTCGCCGTACAGCCGGCTGACTGCTCCACGCTCACCCGACCACCTGAGTGGGCACGCCAGTGACACCACTAGCGTGTTGAGTGGTGATTTGCCACCGGCGATGGGAAAGACCTCGCTGTATTTCTCTAACAGGAACAGTACCGTGAGCAGTGGCTACGACAGCCTCCTCAGGGACGGTGAAACCGCTTCGAACCGAGATTCTGTCAGCGACAGGAGCGGCTCTCTTCTCAGTGCGACTCGCAGCAGTCGATCGTCCAGAAAGAAAGGCAGCACAGGTAAACAAACAAAAACAAAACAAAAACCCATTTTTAGGTATTAAGGCAGCACAGGTAAACAAACAAAAACAGAAACCCATTTTTAGGTATTTATAGTTATCAAACCGACACTGACTCAACATATGAATTATTGAATGGCACGATCACAAGACCTTTCTTACATATCTCCACCCATGAACAAGACTGCGTTACAAATCCGCAACCCGCCCACTAATGAAATAATAATCATGCTAACACAGGACGGGCAGGGTATTGGGTTCATAAGGCCTGTGTGATTATTTGAAACGTTTGACTCATTCAGGACCTAACTGAAATCATTCCTATTCCCTAAGTTTAAGGGATTAGCATATTCTACCTTAGGTAAAAATATCGAAATCCTAAGTTTAAGGGATTAGCATATTCTATATTCAAAAGTCGAAATTCAAACTTTCATCATGCTGCTTAAAATTTTGAAGTCATAGTTACTGCAGATGTTGAATAGTCCAGATATTGTCTGTGCAACCTTGGTGGAATATATATTTGCCAAGAAAATATATATATATATACATATACTTCTACTGTTATTATAATAGAAAGAAATCAATAATGGAACATAATGGAACACTGAGTGTAAGAATTAAATATTTTTCATCCAGTGGAGACTGCAGTAAATTGCAGTGCAGTAAATATGCTTTATTTATGTAGTTGAAGTAAACACAGTGACTGCATTAATGCGGAAAATGAAGTGGAAATGGGACAGTGACTCACAGAGTAACACACTGCTAACTGACTTCTGTCACTGTTAGATTCCCTTTCCAAACCCTCTCGCGTCGACAGATAAAAAAGCTGCACGTGTATCAGTTCTGAGGATCCCTGTGATGTTACAACCGTAAAATGGCCAAATTCAGTTTGGGCAGAAGCATCACGAACGTGTCTCCCGCCTTTGGCTGCCAAAGGATAATATATTCCCTGCGAGCTGCGTCCGCCTGAAGACAGACAATGTCATGCTGTTAAAGGTCACTCAGGGACGCGGGCATTCATCTCAGTCCCCCTTGTTATTTTTTAACGTGATACATGAGGCTTTTAAAGAAATTACAGGTTTGACATTATTGAGGAAGCGTTTTATGAATGCCTCTTAAGAACAATTTTTTTTACCCTCACTTATAAATTATGCTTTTTTACGAAGCTGGTAACTTTCAAACAACATTGTACCACAAGTTTAATACAGTTACGTAGTTTAACTGTAATTCAAATGGAAATTTGCGCCCACTTCCCAATGATCTACTTGTAAAAATAGCAAATAATAATAATAATAATAGCAAAAAAATGCTGTTTTTTTTTTTTTTTTTGCCTCATTGCACTGTAGCCTCTCATCAGCGTCGTCCGTCCAAAGAGGAAACCATGTCCCTCAGACGGTCGCCTAGTGGTCTGAGGTCTCGCTGGGCAGATCGAGGAATTCCAGAGGCCTACGAGATCAAGGTGTACGAGATCGACAATCTGCAGAGGATGCAAAAAAGAGCAGGTGCTGGCAAAACACTGCCGGGTTCATTAGGAGTTCTCTTAAAGTATGACCAAGATGACCATCGGTGGTATGCGTACCACAGTTTGAGAACCACTGATTTAGAGCATTGTTTCCCAAAGTCTGGGTCGTGACCCTCAGGTGGGTCGCAAGAGTTTTTTTTTTGGGTCGTCTTGCATCATGTTTCCCAGGAGTTTACGAATATTGTCTACTGACTTGTGTCGCAAAGGTTTGTGACTTTTAAAATATGGGTCCCCGGAAATAAACTGAGATATACAGTACAAAAGAAATTAGCTTCATGGCTAAAGGGAAGGAAATGCTCTCAAAAACGATGAAGAAAGAGAGACCATTCACACTGCAACAGAAATTAAAAAAAATGAAAATAATTTTTTTTAAATGTATAGAATATATATTTTATATTTAGTTATCATATATATTTTAGAATATACAGTATATTCAGAAATCCCATATATATTTATATATGCATACCTAAAAATTTAATAGATAAAAATGTTAAATGTTGTTTCCATGATTTTGAAAATTAAGCAGTCGTGATTCAGAACATGGAATTTTGATTAATTCAAAACAAAGCTCCGCAGGACTCGGTGAGGTTTGTTTGGGAGCAGGATGTACCTAATAATTCAAGACCACAGATGTGCTCATTTTTTTTTCTCCATCCGCATTCAAATCCTGCACGTACAGTGCACGTCCCCGTTACACTCAAGGTTGTGGGAGCTGCGTACAGCTCTCCACTTCGTCCTTGAGACCGCAGCAGGTTGATAAGCTCTTTGTTGCGCGTGAATTCAACAAATGTGCTGGAAAACAGACCATATGCACACGATGATGTAATGTCCCCATGACAGGAGGTCTGCCTCCCCCCCTCCCCCCCCCCCCCCCCCCCCCCCCCCCCCCCTTCCCTGCCTCCCTTTAGTCTAAGACGAGGCAACTTTGATACAATTTTAATGACCGCCTGGGTGAAAGTGGGTCAGCGGTGCAGCTGAGAACAAAGAACGCCGAGAACGTAAGGCGAGAGCGCCGCAGAGAAGCTTTTTTAAAGATCTCATATTTGGAGAGCTTTAAAAAGTAGTTGACATCGACAAAGACCGATCAGTGAGGACAAACGAACAAACAAATGCTGCAAAACAAGGTTTAGCAAAACAACAGTCTGATATCAGTGTGACAGGTGGCGCTGTTGACGTAAGTCTTACTCATGCTCCATTGTCAACATGCGTTTTTTTTTGTTTTTTTCCATTTTTAAGAGCCCTGTTTATCTTTCCTCCTCTTCATTGGGAGGGGAAAAAAACATTTTGTAATTTTTTTTTTTTTTTTGGTTAAAGAGAGATCAGGTGCAGAAGCAGGACTCTTAACAGTGCACTAATAGGATTAGCAGAATTAATGAGGGGTTGGCTGCAGTTATTGTACAATCCTATTTCAAGAACGGGGGTTATACAATACCCTAAAAAAAAAAAAAGTACTTTTGTAGAAGGAAACATTCATGATTCATTCATTCATTCTTTTCATTTCCCTCTACTATTTTACAACCATTGGATAGGTAGAAAAAAAAGCAATTTTAAAATATTGCAAAAATGTTAAGGTAGATGGAAGAAATCATTTTGTGTGAAGGCAAAGTTGTTGCTGCACGGACTTGACCTTTCAGCTCTGACGTCCTATTGCATTTGGTAAATAACTATTACTAACAGCGTTTGTCATCATCTGCACCAGAATGGTTCCTGAAAAATATATCATGCAATAATACAATAATAATATAAATAGATCGATAGATAGATAGAAAACTAGCTAGATAATAAGCTCACTGGCTAGCTAGCTAGCTAACTAGCTTGCTAGATATATAGATTGTTTGTCCAGCAACTATTTTGTGCTCTGAGATCAAATGACTGAAAGTGCAACGTCTGTTTTCAGGGTCCAACATTCTCCAGCGCCAAACTGAAGTTTTTGAAGAATTAGGATCAGCCGAGGATCTCAGAGGTCGGAACCACATCCACCAAACTGAGGAGGGGGCTCACGCTGGAGGGTGTCATTTGGATCCAAGAGTGTCAGTTAATTGTTTTGACCTTTTTATTTAGCAAAATATATATTTGCAGATTGCGGACCTATTGTTGAATTATCATTAAAGATCATTAAATTTTCAAAATAAAATGTTTTTTTAACTGTTAGTATTGCAGTCTAAACGAAATTAGTTATATATAATATATAATACATTTTTTCACTCCGGCCCGGTAACAAATTATCCTTGGACCAGTAGCGGTCCACAGGCCACAGGTATCATTACCCTGGCTTATAGGGCCAAACTTCCCCCCAAAAAACAATGTTGATCCTGTGGTCAGTGAACCTGACACAAGCAATTAAAACAGTGTTTCTAAAATGTAATGTTCTTGTATTAATTATTTGGGATTTGATACTTTTTGTGCATTATGTAAAAGATGTTGTTGTTCTTCCTCAGTTGACCTGTGGCAGTTGCTGAAGTACGCGTACACGGCAAAGGTGGTGTCTGAGGAATTGTGAGGCTAATGACATTACGGTCACCTGTTCAACGCCACCACCAGGAGGTGGCGCAAGAAGACACTGTCAGAGAATGAGTTACATAAAATAAGCCATTTTGCCATCCCTGCCTGTGTTGTTTATGTCTACAACTTCGTCGTTTATCTTTGTAAACACTTTCTATTTGACTTGTCCACTAGCTTTAACGGTGATCTGTAAATGAAACCTTTTATGTTAATTGTCGTTACACTGGGTGAGAGGTGGATTCTTACTAAAGTTATTATTATTATTATTATTTTTATTATTATTATTGTCGTTTTATGAATGGGCTGACATTTGTACAGAAAATGTTCACTGAATGGGCTGACATTTGTACAGAAAATATTCAATTTTTTTTTAAGCCTGTCTTTTAGTTGTTAGACTCTTACACTCAATTTACACTAATAATAACTGTGGTCAATTACTTAGTTAAAGAATGATTTTTCTCATCCTCACTGATGATAAAGCAAAAACGAAGAATTAAAAGTGTTACCTCTAAGTGAGTATTTGAGTCAACTGTTTTGGTAAATGACAATTTGTTATCATTTGGTATCATAATCCTGGGCTTATTTTTCATACTAAAATCTTTGTATAATACAAATTTAACTTTTGATTTTAATTCCACAGTAAAACAATAGCGAATACGTGACGTTTATGACAAAATGTACTGAAAAAGTGTTTTTTTTTTTGAAGGTGCTAATGTAATTGGTGCCTTGTTGGGTAATTTATTGTCACATAACTAATAAGTGAAATGATCGCTGTTAATCAAAAAAGACACAGCGGGCTGTAATCATCTGCTGATTTCCTGTAAATAATCATGAATATTTGTAATAAAACGAACTCTTTTGTAACAAGAGTAGCGCTCTGTGTGAAAGTGAATGGTTGTTTATTAGCTACATGTACGTAGCCTGTCAGTTTATCAGCGTTGGGTTCAACAAAACAATATTTTGGAACGTATTTATTTTGCAGGACACTAAGCCTTTTAAAAAGCTGATGAGTAAAGGATAGAAATGCTTGTAGTTAAAGAAGATTGAAATGCAACACTATGATCTTTTTGCCCCCCGCCCCCCCCTTCAAAAGACATGTGGTCTGTGATCAATAAACTGGCTACCAGAATACATTAGCAAATACTGAGACGGACTAAAAAAAAAAATGTGGCTCTCAGTCTAATGGAGGAGTAATTACGTTAGGGCCATAACGTCATCGTGTCTGAAGGGTCTTGTGGCTCTGAGCCAGTCGAAGGGAAGGTGCGGATGCGAGGTAATCGATGCTAAGATTTTTCCACCTGGGTTGATGTATTTAAACACACAGGGATGACAGACACAGGGTATGCTGGATGTCGATTCGGCGAATCTGATTGATCATCATTTTGCCAAAGTAGAACGTAAAGTAGTTCGAAATAAAATGATTGTTCAGGAACATGAATAATACAGAAACAATCATTATAAATATATATTAAAATAATAACCGCAAGAGCTGAAATAATGAATATTTAGCTGCAGCAGCAGGTGTAAAAGGAATAAGGGGGATGACAGTATCACACAAATGTCAATAATCAGTCATTTCGCTTATGTATATGTACATTTATGTTTTTATTTTGTATAAAATGTTATGTTATTTGCAAGGAAAATAGCATGTTTTCACTTTGGGATTTTACTTGGGGGACGGTTTTGAGAGGAACAGAATTTGATGTATGAGCATTATGGAGTGTGGCTTTATTAAATGACAACAGCTAAACCAGATCAGTGCATTTGCTTCAGATTTTGAGAAGGTCACCCGCACTGTTATCTTTGTCAGACTCCATAGTTGTAGTGGACTACAAGAATCCATTTTGATTAGGTTCCTGCATATATCTGTGATCTGCTGTCTTTATGTTATCCTCGCTCAATGATTGACATCCTCGGGCCCGGCTGGGCTAAGTGTGCCTACAAGGTGACCTAGCCTTTTGTGTCCAGGCCAAGTATGCAGTGAAACTGTCTACTCATGCACAGACAGACTCACTCATCTACAACCTTGTCTGAAAGTTCAGTTCCTGCTGTTATTTTGTAATTAATGTCATAAAAAAGTTAGTATTTGCATTGACCCTACATGTAACTGTATATCTCAGTGTAAATCTATATGGGGTATAAATAGAAATGTCCACCACCAGAAAAGTTATTTTATGTCCCTAGTGTGATAGATTTACTGTACATAAACAAAACAAAACAAGAAATAATAAAGACCTTAAAATATTTACATGTAACCATAGTCAGGAAAGATTTTTTCCAAGAGCAAAAAAACTCTCTGGTGTGTTTATTACGTGGTATTTTAAAAATAAAATAATTTATTTAATAGAAAACTAGAGATTTTCACTAAGTAATTAATCATTTAATTAGCATGGTTGTGCGCATAAATATATTAAAAATCCGTTCTAAATTGCATTGCACTGGGATCACAGATCCTCGCTGCTATTAAAAATCCGTTCTAAATTGCATTGGGATCACAGATCCACGCTGTTGTTTTTCCCTTCACACATCAAAAACACCGCCATCTTGTGACCGTTATGTAACTGCTGACACAGCCAGTAAGGCAGTGTGCCACCGTTGCCACAAGGTGGCAGTCCTCGTGCATCGAAAGGATTAATAAATTATAAAATAAATAAATAAACGAATAAATGAATGATTGGGGCGCGCAGGAACGTATAAACCCGCCTTGAATCCAGGGAAAGAAGAGAAAATACCCGGATTAAGATGTAAACAAGGAGCATGAGAAAAAGAGAGAGCGTGAAAGAGAGAGAGAAGGAGAGAGAGAGAGAGAGAAGGAGAGATAGAGAAGGAGAGATAGAGAGGGAAGGAGAGAGAGAGAGTTAGGCGAGTGGGCGCTGCTTCTGCCGTGTCTGCTTGAGACCCGCTTGTAAATTGATGTCGAGGGGAGACGAGACGTCGTTGCGTACGGCGGTGAGTGCACCTCTGCTCTTCTATTTAACCTGTCACCATTCTGTGAGTTTGTGATGAGGAAGAGGGAGCGGAAAATGTCGTCGTTCCTCTGTTACGACAGACGGATGAAATTAAACAGAGCACGGCTTAACGTAAACGTATTTTCAGTTACACTGGGAAGTAGCAAAGTGACGGTGATGATTATACGGAATAATTGCAAGTAACAAGCAATGGATAATATACTTAAGACACGTTCTCGTACTACTAATGTTTTGTATATCGTGTCCATAATGTAGCAAAGCTAGCAGCTGTACTAATTAACGCGTTTCTCATTACCGACGGCTGTGTTATCCGCAAATGAGTGAACTAATAAGCGAGTCAAATGTCGCTGCCTGGTGTGTGTGTGTGTTTTTTTTTTTTAATGACAACTTTATGACTTTATTATGCTCTGTTCCTGGAGACGACATGTAGTCACGTGAAATAAAATTACAACGGTCACAGTTGAATCAATTCAGCAATTACACCTACGCCAAAATTTGTCGTCACCGACCTCGACCAATGGCGTGTACGGTGTTACCGACGTCATCAACCTGCAGCAGGGCAGTGAAGCTTTAACAGGAATATGAATGGAATTTTAGATTTTGTTGACATTTGGAGCAAAGAAGTCATCTTGATGAAATGTAATAGACAGTGTCTGACGACAATACTGTTTTAAATACTGTTTGATTAAAAAAAAAAAAACCCGTGACGTTTCCTGTTGACGTGGATTTTAGAAGGCAGTTCAAATGTGGTAAAAATCTTAATTTTTAAATTTGTAATTTAAAAATTAAAACGTGGATACTTCTAATAAACACTGATATTCTAAATATTTTTTTAAATGGTCAAATTAGGTTATATCTGTTACATATATTCATCCTGCCAGTTGTAGAAATATATATATATATATATTTAGGAAAGCTGATTTTACACCGACACTTTTTGAACACAAAGGCTACGGGGCATTAATCTACTCAGTCTTATTCCTCAGTCGTGTCCCAGAGGTGCCCACAGATGCCCCAGGGGTGATATATTTTAACTCGTGGTTAGTTCACAACCTAGCTTGCCCCTTATGTTTGTACTTAATGTCACATTCCATGTTGGCAAACTTTGAACATTCACATGACTTCTAACTCTCTCTCTCTCTGTGTGTGTGTGAACACTTCTTCACACAGCATTTAGGCGCTCAGATCAGTCAGCGTGAAAATGAGAGTCTAATCAGGCAGAAATGCATACGTGTAACGCAACATATTTCTCCGCATGATGTCAGCCTCTGGAGTGTTAATCTCTCCAAGGGACTCAGGCAGTTTGCCTTGCTAACAACTACGGTAGTAGCTAGTAGTTTACACAACTACGTAGGGACGCAGGGCTCAGCAACTATATTTGTCAGAGGACGCCAAAAAGGGTTGGACGCTAAAATAAAATAAAATAAAAATCAAATTTTTTCTAACATTATTATTATTATTATTATTATTATGATGATGCTTAATTAAGTTTAGCACTTACAGACCTCTAACCATTTGTGTGAATGTTGCTGTGTGTCCCAGCATTTTGCTGAGTGCCAGCTGTGATCAACATCTGTCCATTCCACCCTGCTCATGATAAACTACAGGAAATATACTAATTGTTTAATTAATAACATATATAAACTAACCACTTCTTTATACTGTATCTGTGTACTTTAACCCACTTCTTACGGAATACAACACTCTATTGCCATTTAGAGAGGGAGGTATTGAGAATGGAGAACACTGCTGTGTCTCAGTGGACACTCATGGTTTGGACACAAAGACGTCCCTTTTAGTCATTGGAATAATTGCCTTCTGTACAAGCAGCAGCACTGTGTCTCCTTAGCGTCTCTCTTTCTCTCTCTCTGTGTCAGAACAATCTGCTTGTATGGAGAATATATTATGTTCTCTTTTTTAACACGGTTTATTGTGATCTCTTTGACAGCTTGTCTGCAACAGGAAATTATGCTACGTTGAGCAAAGAAAAAAAAAAACGCAACGAGGTCGGCCTGTGGACTACATCCTGGACTACATCAACCATGGTGGACATCTCATATTGTTTTGTTCTCGGCCACCCAGGAGAGGCAGCAGAAGATTGAATCACATGCTCCCCGCTGCATGACCGCGAAGCAGACACTTCAGGAACCTTTTTATCAAGTGGATTCTTACCCGATACCTCTGAGAGTTTCACTAGACACTGAAGGCAGCAGAGCCTTCCTTCAGCTGTTTTCTTCTAGAAAAAAAGAAATGTTTAAAAAAAATAGAACACCCGATGTTTTTAGTCAGGGTATAAAAGAGTGACTCAGTGTTTGCTCAGTGCAGGGTGGAACATCTGAAGAACAATCATTTTCTGAAGAAGGAAGATAGTGAAAGTCACAGGGATGGGGAACAAAAACACAAGTTCGCCCAAAGGTCCAGACTCCAGGCTCAGTGAGAAGGAGGACGATGTTTTTCTCGATGACCCCACAGGTAATCCACCCTCACCGGATTTGATTGACTTCAGTCTGATTACTGGAGCGTAGAGGGCAGCAACGTCATTGAGTCAGGTTTACATAAACGCCATTTGTCGTTAATGTTTCTTTGTTTGTGACCAACAAATTTTACAGACACACCTGACATTTGTTACAAACATTTGAATTGATGTAAAGTTAATGATACAAAATAGGAAGTAAATGTTTACTTCCTATTTAGTTTTTTTGTGTGTGTGCTTACTAGTTTCTTACTAGTTCCATTAAAAAAAAATACTAATGTTCACATTTTGGTGTAATAGTGTAGGATGGAGATTAGTGACACTTTTTCCCGCATACAAAATGACAATATTTTGCCTGTTCTTTCAAAATGTTGGATTATTTTCATATTTTCCCTAAAGCAAGGGTCAAGGTAGATTTCAAAATACAAGAAAGCAGCATCCGGGACAATTACAAAATTAAGAATCCAGGTCATCTAAGTTTAAAAAACTGTAGTAAAACCATTGCTATATTTGACTCTAGCATTTGTTTGTTGTCTCTGTGTTTCCAGGGAGTGCCTCCAGAGACGGAGCGGTGGGCTTTAGCCCAGAGCTGCTGGCCTCCCTGCGGACCCTTGATGAAAACACTGATTACACACTGTTGCCACACTCCCTGCATCAGGTGTGTTTACAGCTGTGTGTGTAGGTGTTGTTAGGTTGTTGTAAGGCATATGTGCATTTGCATCATTTTTTCTGATTATATAAAAAAGAAATAAGCATGTAATCTGATTCCAAATTTCCAATATTTTTTTTTATGTAGCATAAACATATTAATTAACACCTGACTAAAATGCACTGTTGCTGTTAGATGTACGTGCTTCAGTGACACAGCACACCTGGTCTGTGTCTGGTATACTCCATGTAGACGTGCAGGTCCTTATTTGGTCCTAGAAAATAAAACTTTTTGTAGAGTAGAACACATTACTTTTCATTGCTTTAATTCAGAATGATAGTCCGAGAATAAAAATAAATAAAACAGCACCAGGTGAACCATGACTGTACAGGCAGACGCTTTTATTTCAGCAACCTCAGCAATTCTCTCATCAACATCAATTGTATTAAGATCTAATAAATCTAATAACTGACAAATATTAAGCTCCGACATTATCCAGATATTTCCCAAATGGCAAAGCCATAATTTTATTTTATTTGTTTTTAAGTGTGTCTCTAGCTTCAGTTACAATGTTTATTTTATTTTATTTGTTTTTAAGTGTGTGTCTCTAGCTTCAATTACAGTGTTTAAAAAAAAACAAAACATGCTCAATCTGATTAAACCAAGCGAATGACACAATTCTCCCTCATCTGCTGCATTTTGATTACTGACAAAAATCCTCTTGTCCTGTTGTTATATAAGCTGTTTTGTGACACTTTAACAGCTTAAGGTACAATAGGATAAAAAGGAAAGAAGTCCAGAACAAAAAGGACTTTAATGGAATGCAATATATTAATATTTATATACACATTTCTGGTTAAATGGTGTTATTATACGTATATGTCTATATATGTATTATATATGAACAAACACTCCTCCTGTATTAAACCAGTGGTTTTTTTTTCTCCAGATTGCAGAGGCCTACTCACTTCAAGGAGACTGTATCCTTTCACGCAGACAGTTAATGGTTTAACCGAGTGAGACTTTGAACCGAGTTCATGATTGTGAACAAACGCTCCAGATCTGATAAATGTCACACCGCCCAGGCTTAAGCCTGTCAGGCAAGAAGCAGGGATTTAAAAAGCTCTCCCTGTTAAGAAGATAAAGATGTTTTCGGTCAGGTTCCTCTTCCTGTTCTTGTCGTTCTCAGTTACTGGGTGTTTCCTCTATATGTTGCCCTAAAGCCCTGAGGGTTTGCAGTGGTCGTTGTGCAGTCTTGTTGTGTTTGTCCCTTTTTGCTCGGCAACAGCCGAGAACTGATCTTCCTGCACTCTGGCTGTGTGCTTTTATGTGGTTGTGTAACACAGACACAGAATAGACCACCTTCAGAATGAAGCAAACCGCTGCTGTAGGTTATTATTCAAGGCAAATTCACTCCTCTAAACAAATGAAAATGATTTTCAACAACACTAACAGCAAATGCATAAAGTGGCCTTTTTCATTGTGCAATATTTCAAGCATGCACCACCAGCTAAACCCACATTTACTTTGGTTAGTCAACCGTTTCCTTTTCGTGATAAGAATGAAGGAAATGACTAATTAAATGGCTGCTATCTGGCCTGTAGCATCTGTTCTCTCTGAAGAGCTGGGTCTTCAAGACATTTTTTTATTATTTATACATGAACATCTCAGCTACTTTCTTCAACCAGTCCCACCAGATCGCGGGGCCATGCAGTTCCTACAGCTGGAGAAGCTCTACCACGAACGCCTGCTCTCAAATCTCGCTTCCTTGCAGGAAAGATGGGGTATTTAATCTAAACCTGCGATCAAAAACAATTCCGTGCAACCCTGAGGGACGAGTCTCTGTATGTTTATGTTGCGGGAATCTGCAATCTTTTGTCCTTGTTCTGCAGAAAGCCACTTGACAGAGAGGAACACTGAGAGCGTGACGTCCGCTGAGACAGAAAGTGTCGGTGAAAAACATATGGAGACACTGAGCCACATCTGTCGAACACACTCCAGGTACATGGCCATTCAGACACAGAAACCACAGAAACAGTGGTTGAAACAGTGCGAGACAACAATGCGAGACAGGCAGAGCAATTAAATCCTCTTCCGCTAGGTGGCAGCAGATGGTTATTAAAACTAAAAAAAAAAAAAAAATCAGAGATATTGAAGGAGATCTTTGTGTCTTTCTTCAATTCCTGCCAGTATATCAGCGTTGTCTTCAACTAAACAGGAGTACATTTCAAGTCAATTTAATTATACTCATAATTATACCACTCCAGGTACATGGCCATTCAGACACTGTTGTCTATTCAGACTGGTTGAAACAGAAGTGCGAGACAACAATGCGAGACAGGCAGAGCAATTAAATCCTCTTCCGCTAGGTGGCAGCAGATGGTTATTAAAACTAAAAAAAAAAAAAAAAAAAAAACAAAT